CTTCCCACTGTCTCTCTTCACAATGGGATCACAACGAATCTCCATGTTGCTTGATTTTTGATAATGGGCTTCTTAAATGCTTTTGAGATCATAGCCTATCTGTTCACTGACTGGTGAGATTCTGTACCTTCTTCATTTTAAAAATTTTTCTCGTCAATGTTAAATGCACCATTCTATTGGTTTATTGCCAAGTTCCCATGTGATTCCTGGCTTCTGCTTTCCTTTCCCCTCTCCACAATCTAGTGTTACTGAACCACTTTCTATAAATGCAAATGTTCTCCAAATTTCCAAGGCAAGAAGAATTAAGTAGATTCTTTAACATTATTCTGTATTCAGTATCATATCACCATTAGGGCTGGACTTGTCCTGACATGGGCCATAAGTCTGGTCTCTGATCTTGGCCTCTTTTTGGTGCCGGGAAGCACAGATGAATGGCTTATCATCACACAAACACAATCCAGCCCTTCCTGAACAAGACAGCTTGGAGAAATTTACAGGGGTGGACAGTAGCAGGTGTGAGATTCCTCATTGTCTGTTATAACTTGAGATAGCACAGGAAAATTTAGAGAAGACAAATGTCTGATGCAGATAGAAGAACCCTGTCCCTTGGGCTGTGGGGATTTCAAATTGCAGGAGTGAAGAAGAATCAGCCCTCATCCTTTGTGGTCATGCAGTATGATACAGCAGAACGTCTAGTTCAGAACAGAATCAAAGCTAAGTAAGATAAAGCTATCCAGGCTGATTTATTGTCTGTTATCCTAGACAAAAGAATATAATCTTTGAAGCCAGGAAGATATAAATTAGATCCTGCGTGTGCTACTTATTACGTGACCACAGCAAAGTTACTGAATCACTCTAAACTTGTATTTCTGCACTGTTGAGACAAACCACCTACTCATTAGTCATTATGAGGACTGAATGAACAGTACATATCAAGCCCTTAGTACAGTGCCTGGCTAAAAACAGGTATTCGGTAAGTAAAAAGTTGTCTAGTTCCTTTTCCCAACCAAGCAAAGACATGTTTAGAAGAACTATGAATCAGGTCTGGCAATACAAAGAAAATAGGTTTTGCTTCCTTCCCAGCCCGACTTTTACTAAAGATTATCTGTAGCTGTTACTTACGCTTTCTTACTTCCCAAATTCTGTTTGTGGTGGATGGACAGAGATTGCTGCCTCAATAGCTCTTCCCTGACCGCGCTGTATAACAGCAACATGGCTGGGTAAAATCAACCCATCCTTCTTGCTTCACAATTTGTTCTAAGATGACCACATGATTAGACAAGATCCAACAGAGGAAGGCTCAGAAGTGTGTTTTGACGGTTGGGGTTAGTGCTTTACGCAGGTATGATGCCTGGAACTATTCCAGGTGTTATGCTGCCGTGAGGAAAGCCAGCCTGAAGATAAAACTGACACAGAAGACAGAGTCAAGACAGGAGTAGAATGGAAGATTATATTGAAACTGAAACCTGCCTGATTGCTGTGCTTTTAAGTATTGTGAATCAAAAATAAACTTTTTTATTTTTATTTTTTTACTTTTTGAAAACATTTTCCCAGCTTTATTGAGGTATAATTTACAAATAAAAATTGTATATATTTAAGATGTATATGTTTTAATATACCTCTACATTGCACAATGATTATACCAATCAAGCTAATTCACACATCCATCACCTCATATAGTTACTGTGTGTTTGTGTGTTTGTGTGTGTGTTGAGAACACATTCAGCAAATTTCAAGTATACAGTACAGAACATGAATTATGGCCACTATGCTGTAATATTAGATCTCCAGAACGTCATCCTACCTTACTGAAACTTTGTACTCATTAACTCAAACCTCCTTATTTCTTCTACCCTCTGGGGCCCAGCAACCACCATTCAACTGCATTTATGAGTCTGACATTTTTCAATTTCAAATATAAGTGAGATCATGCAATAATTTTCTGTCTGGCTTATTTCACTTAGTATAATGCCCTCAAATTTCATCCATGTTGTCAGAAAAGGTAGAATTTTTAATTTTTTAAGGCTTAATCACATTCTGGTGTGTGTATATAAATGTATATTATATATATATATATCTGTATATATATATATATGTGCATATATATGTATATATATGACATTTTCTTTATCCATACATCTATAGGCTATCACTTAGGTTGTTTATCACTTAGGTTGCTATCACTTAGGTTATGTACTGGCTACTGTGAATAATGCTGCAATGAATGTGGGAGTACACATAACTCTTTGAGATACTGATTTTATTTCTTTAGATATATACCCAGAAATGGTATTTCTGGATCATACAATAGCTTGTAAATTTTTTGAGGAAATTCCATACTATTTTTTATAATGGCTGCACAAATTTACATTCCCACCAAGTGTTCCTTTTTCTACACATTCCCATCAACACTTACCTTTTGTCTTTTTGATAAACGTTTTTATTTTTAAACCAGCTGGCATTTTCTTTTTTTTGCTACCTGTAACCAAAAGCATTTTAACTTACCAATATTTTTACCCACTTTAATCAGAATTCAACTCTCACTCCACCAATACTGTTGTAAAGAGTATCAAATGGCCCACATGGCAGAGAATCCTGCAGATAGTTTTCTTGCTCTTCCATCTTAATCAGCTTTTGAAAGTTAAATTTTTCTTCATATATGCAAGTGTGCTCAAGGATACTTAATGCAGCATTGAGAATGATAGTGAGATGTTGAAAATAACCTACTGATATACCGAATACTGAAAATAATCTACTGATGCACACAATTTCATTTGATTTATTTTTATTATTTTAAATATCTTATGTATTTTTCAAATGTGTACTTTATGTATTATTAAATTATTTTCTTTATATAATATTTATATTTATTTCAAATATATAATTTAATTTTAATTTTTAAATTTTGTTTATCTGATGTATGCATTTATTTAATTACTAATTTAGTCACCAATGTGGGATTGAATAAATAAATTATGTGTATTTTTCATAGAACGCAGCCAATGAAAAAGTGAAACAATTCTATATGTTTGCTAAGATATATTAAGTAAAAATAGCAAAGAGCAAAGCAGTGTGAAATTGCATGCTACCATTTTAATTTAAAAAGATGATATTAATTCTTGTGTATGTATAAAATAGCTCTGAAAGGATTCATAATAATGTATTTGGTTGCCTCTGAGAAAAAGAACTAGATGGTGGTGACAGGGGTGTGAGATAAATTACTTTCATTGCATAATGTTTTTTACCTTTTGAATTTATGTTGTGGTTACATAGTAGTTATCATAAATAAACAAATAAACAAATTTAGATAATTTTAAAAATAGAGAAATGTTCAATTCCTGCCAAAATATTGCTATTTACTAGAATTTCATCTTAAAATCTCCCATACGGTCTCTTTTCTACTCATGGTTTTCAAACAATATAAGTCCTAAAAAATCGCACACATTTATATCTTCTTTTTTAAATAGAGGTATAATTGACATATAACATTGTATTAGTTGTACAATACAATGATTTGATATATATATATATATTGCAAAGTGATTATCATAGTAAGTCTAGTTAACGTCCATCAGCACACTTAGTTACTGTCTCTTCTCTTTTGAGTTCCAGACTCTTACTTCATGGCCTACTTGGATATCTCATAGACACTTCAAAAATTGGCAAAACTAAGCAATTCTTCTTAACTCTTGTCTTCTCTTTACAAAACTGCTTCTCTCCAAATCTTCCCCCATCTCAGTAAATGCCGTCACCATTAACCCTCACTCTTGAGGAAGCTATCTGAGAATTATTCTGCGTACTTCCCTCTCTTAAACTCCATTTCTAGTCAATCGCAGATTCCTGTGGTCTACAGCATACGTATATTTCCTATTCTTGTGTCCTACTCTCTAGTGTGACCACTTTAGTCCAAGTCATCATCTTTTCACCTAGTTTCCCTCTACCCCTCAAAACCTTCTCCAATGCCATGCCTGCAAAAGTTTTTTTAAAACCACCTACTTCAAAGTAGACCCTTCTATTATTCTATAAAAAAGTCATTTTTTTGTCATAACTCATTAAATTTAAAATTGCATATATGTGTTTGATGTTATTTATATATGCTTTCTTGCTGGATTATAAACTCAATGAGGACAGGGGCTGTGTCCATTTTCTCAAGTTCCTATGCTTACAACCTAGCACAATAACTGGCATGTGGAATATGATTAATAAATTATTCTCAAATAAATGAATAAGTTAAAGAGTGAATGAGCTCTAATCGTGTAGCAGATGTACTAGATGTGGTACTAAGGGGCGATAAGCCTGTCAGGATAAGCATTTTCTAGCATGGACAGATATAAAATGAGTACAAGAGGATATTTTTATGTATATATAGGGTAGATATGAGCAAATTTATTTGCTAGGGCAGAAAAGAGACTCCATTGAGGAAATATAGCAATAAATGGAAAAATAAAGAACAGGTTTAATTTTGCCACCTGAAAAATGAGGTGTGTGAATTAGGTGATTTGCTGTAATTATAGGATTCTGCTTCACAAATTTTCCCCAGATTCTGCCCTACAAGGTGAAAACTGCCCTAGATCTTTCTTCTAGAGTATGTCAGGAACACATGTGACATGTGGGTGGTAGATATAAGCATCCTGTCTGTAGGGAACCCGGCGAGGGCAAGTAGTAAATTGTCTTCAGTTCTGGATAAGCCCACTGTGAAGCCACAGCCATGGCAACCCTATCCTGCCACCTCCAGTGTCCGAGCGTCTCAGTCCATAATGTGTTCAAGATTGTTCTTGAAACAAAGGAAACAATAAAATAGAATAACTAACAAACCTTCTTTATTAAATAACAAGGAAACAATCTATATACAATCCCTTTGTCTCTTGCACGTGAGTGCTTCATCCTTCTCCTGTAGAAGGTTACTTCATGTGACCAAAGTGCAAGCACAGCAGCTGGTGTGAATGCACTACAATATGTGATGCTGCCTGACAAAACATGCAGTTCACACTTGCATTCTCAGTCACTGCACATGCAGAGAAAATGCACCATTTCAATTTACAAAGATGTAGGTGAAGAATTACTAGCTTCATTTCAAATGTCCATGTTGTGCCTCTTAACAATTAAACCAGCTGTTACTCTTCAAAATATGTGTCACTTTCTTTGCATTTGGGTCAAACTCCAACTGCGAAGATCCACTGAAGAAATAGAAAAACCCTGCAAATATAGACAAGGAAAATAGATGTTTTTTTCAAATAAATAAATTTAGGAATATACAAAACTCAGAAAAATAGATAACTAGAAATGGAAAGTGTTTATAGAATTGTGCCAAGAACTGTGTTATTTTACATAATTTTTCATTTATTTCTACAATGATCCTGTGAGGTAAGTATATCTAACTCCATCTTACAGATGAGTAAGTTGAGTTTCAGACAGATTTAGATGCTTGTCCCAAGTCACTCAACGAAAAAAAGGATGGAGACAGCACTCCATTCCAGCTCTGTCTGATAGCAAAATCATCTTTGGGTTATTAGGTTATTCTGCTTCCAATCAGATAAAATCCTCTGCTTCTTGGGAAACTACGATCTCTCTTTTTTTTTTATTTCCTAATACTTCTCCTCCTATTTTCCCACTTTGTAGCTTGAGGGGCATTTCTGGCCTTAGAGAAACGCACAGGACCTGCTATAGCTCTGCTGTCATGGTACTCTGGTTACCTTTCAATAAAGATCATCAGCCTCCACCTATCTATACTTGAGTAGGGAAAAAAAAAGTCTTTTTTAAACTTTGGATACATGGACAGGTAAGTATCTGCAACTGTGGGCCAATGTAGGGGATGACTGACTACTCAGAGAAGGTAGAAAAAAATCTCCCTGGTAATTAGTAGTAGCAAGAGTATGGAATGAAGAGAAAGCCAGCCAACTAGTATTAAACTTGGCCAAACCACTTGAGGGGATTTTTATACTGATATGATAATTTGAAAAGTAATAGCTCTAGGTGTAAGGAAGTGACACTTGAGAACTTTGGTTTTATCTGGATGTATAAAGCAGAGAGATTTGTGTTAATTATCTTTATGATTCAAAACAGCTTATTATATGAAGTAGTTGTATGATTGGTACAAAATTGGCCAGCCGAAATTTGGGGGAGTGAGGAGAGAACTGGTTAAAGAAAATCTGTTATTAAAAATTATTTCCATTCTTCCTTTTCTGTAATGCCATAGAATGTTTCAATTGCCCTATTGCCAACAAAATAAGTATCTTCTTACCAAATGCTTCAAAAACAGCATTAACCTTCGGTTCAACTCCTGGAAAGTCTTCCACTATTTTCCTGGGAAAGCCTGGATCCATGGACTGTTTCTTCTCATCAAATCTGCACCAAATAAAGGAATACAGCTCAGCATGCATAGAGGCCATGTTACCAAAATTCATAAATCATGTTAGGTTTAATGTGGAATTCTAGTAAACTTTCCAAGCACTGCAAATAAATGTCAAACCTGTCTAGCACTACAAAAATATGTGAATTTAGTGGTACTGGAAACTTAACTCAAACTATATCTTCACCAGGAATAGAGGCACACATTCTGATCTAGAAGATGCTGCTTGTTATTACAGTTCATAAGACTGGGCAGAATCTTAGTCATCTTTCTATCACAGAGACATGAAGATATGAACAAATACATAAAGCGCATTGAATCATTTTTCTCAAATACGAATTTCAAGTTCTCCACCATGCTTGGCTCATGTGTGCCCTCTCTACCCTGCACATCTGGATTTCCTATGTTTCCTAGAAAAAGGGATTAGAATGAAAAGCAAAGCACAGTAAATGTATTTTGGACTTGTTGGCTGGACCTTGGTGGGTCTGCCCAGATGTCTCAGAGTCTGTGCAGATGGCCAGGAATTAGCTTCTATATGAGTCTTGGGTTCAATCCATGAAACTGGACTGCTCCTGCTCATTGTCCTCTTAAACAGGCAAGGTAATGAGTGAGTGAGGTTAAAAGAAGCCCTTGAGAATCACAGAATAAAGCTGAGAAGGCTGAGAAGATGAGACAAACACCCAACAAAACCTTTAAGAACGTGGGCAAGGATGTGAAATTGTGGCCTGGATTCTCAGGGCTTCTTTCAAAAAAGAGAAGTCCAGCCGGGTTTGGAGTGCAGCAGGAAAAGCTTCACGGAGGTGGTGGGACTTAAGCCAGGACTTGGGGGTGGATAAGGTTTGGGTAGGTAGAAGGGAGAAGAGGGCACTCCTGGTAGGTGTGGCAACAGCACAAAGGAAAGCTTCCTCCCAGGGCACATGGCACTCAAAACAGAAGAGCTTAAGAAATGTCCGCTGCCAGGCACTGCTGTAGTTTAAAGTAATCACTTCCTCCACAGTTGTCTAAAGCTCCATCCTTCCTACTGAGCGGGAAGCAGAGCTAAGAGCAAGGCAAGGAATTTCCTTAGAAAAAGGAAATAAGTTCTCTAGTTCGGTTCCATACAAAGTCATTCCAATCGCATATTACCTCCAGTATTTGTCCTCTACAAAGAAGTATGTTTTCTTCTTTTCCTTATCAAAAACGGCTGCATCTATTTTCTTTACTGTTGAAGGAAAACCCAGTGTTTGGATGCCTCTAGGGTAACCTGCTTGTACCTCATTTCCTCTGATGGCCCAGAACTGATTTCCTGTTTAAAAAAAAAATAATTCAGAATCACATTGAATTTATAACCATTAAGCTTTGCGGTTTTAGAAATATCGTTTAGCACTTTTGAGTTTATAGTAAAAAGAAAGCCAGAATTTTAGGTTTAGTCACCAGCTCAAAGTGAGCATTTAACAAAAATTTGCCTATTGAATGAATGAACATAGATCAAATGAGGGAATATAAAGAAGGGCAATTTATATTCCTGTGTTCATTTTTATCATCTGTAAAATATCAATAAAACAATACCAGTTCCAGGTATTTTTTCATTATCTTAGAGTAATAAAGTAGACAATTTTTGTCATAGTAGAGAAAATTAAAGTCCTATTCAATTTTCCTGTGAGAGGATTTATTTCAACAAATTGAAGAAATTATTATGTAATAATTACCTTTAAAAATGAAAACAGTATCCCTGATAGTAACTTCATATGCAGCATCCACTCCTGAAGGAAGAGATGGCCAAAATGAAGAAATCAAATAAAATCCAGGTTCAGGAATCCTTACAGATTTGCGCCAAAAATGTCTGAAACATATGTAAAAAGAAATGAAAATTGAGAAATAGTCTTTCATCTTTAGCATTATTTTCCTCATTGCCCTGCCTCACTCATCTTCCTGCCATTCCCTTATCCTCTAGGCTCGGCGACAGACAGAAATCAAGTATATTGCCAATGGAAAAGTATTTTTCTTTTTTCTTCAGAAGACTGCATTGGACTTTCTGCCATAAGATTCCAGAGTAACGACTTTTATAAAACATAAGTTATCCTACAATGCAAGTTAAATGCCTGAGTGTAAGCTTTAAATACCTACAACTCATGCAAAAACAGTGTATATGTTATACCATCTTTCATATTTTTCAAAAGATAGGCAAATGTGTGTATATGTACATGGACTATGTAAGCCTATTTTTATATGTGCATGGAACAATTCTGGAAGGATATACATGGATCTGGGACTGTAGATGAATGTGGGGAGAAATGGGGAACTAAGAGTCAATGAGGTGAGAGAAACTTGCTTTTAACGTTCTTCCTATTAATGAAGTTTAAATATTTCATCATGTGCATATTTATCCAGCAGTGAGTAAATTAATTTATTAAATGTAATGCTATTCTGGTGTCATTGTTAAACGAGAAAAAGAAAAAAATTCTGATATAAAGTTCTATTTGTGCCTTTTGAAGAGCAACCATGACTTATAATATTTGGGAACAATTAAAGGACGAGTATCGAATCATTCTAAGTCTTCAAAAATGAACTTGACAATTTTAGGAAAATGTAACAATTAGAACATTAGGTCTGAATAAATTCAGTTCAGAAGAATAATTTTTGTTTTAAATGTTTAAAAACCTCTATCAAATTTCTGTTTGTTTTCATTTGTAAGCACTGCAGATCAAACAAAAATAGAAAAATATAATTTTCTGGTCTGACCTGTCTTTAAAGAACAGAATTTCTCCCCTCAGAGTGCTGACTGCATCAAAGGACAAAGTAGGATCACACATGGCTGGTGTCTCAGGAGGCACAGATTCTGTGGGCACCACAGGGTCATCAGGGGAAGCAGGGGGAGGTCCTAAAGGGAACAGATATGAGGATGCAAACATTAGGAGAAACGTGATGCTTCTGCCAATGCATATGCTTTCCGAACATTCTCAGAATACTCTGAGTTGACTCGCAAATGTTTTCTGCAGCATTTTAAAGCTTTCCTGAAGATCACCACTGCAAAGCTACAAGGCCCAATTTTTCCAGCATCACTCACCATACAGGGACTGAATGCCATTCACATCATCTTGAGAAAGGCGGAACCGGGCCAGGTCTGTGAATGGGTTGTAGACTGGGTACATCAAAGCTTCAGAGTTGGCCGAGTGATAGAGACCCAGGGAATGGCCAAGTTCATGAGCAGCAACAAGGAATAAATTGGTCCCTATTTAAGAAATCGTAAATAAGAGTTTATTCCTTCAATATATGTACATTGCAGATGTCAGCTGTGTATTGTATTTGTTTACTTCCTGGAAGCACACAGGGCTTTTTCGGCCTTGAATTTGGTTAATTGATCCATCGATTGATCGATCACACACTTAATGGAAAGCCAAGTGTATTTCAAAGCTCATTATCGACATCAATCTTTGAGACAGTGTCCAACCATATCCAAATTCCCTCTCCAGTCTCAGAAGCCTATTCACTTCATGAGAAGCAGGTCTCTTTTCTTGTATTCTGGAGTGGAATGAACCTACTGGCTTAACACATCAATAAATGTTTCTCTTTATTTGTCAATGAAAAGCTAAACACAGTTTCGATGTATTGACATTGGCTGGTTACAGTCTCAGTTAAATGAATCATACATAGTTTATTCTTGTGAACTCTGAAATCCTTAAACAATCTTCGTGCTGTCATTTGCCATTGGAATATTGCCTGCATAATTTTTCAGCCTCGTGATATTTATTCAGTACATATTGAGTTAAAATAATTCATAAAGATAAATGTCATAGGATCTGTAAGATTGATTTAAAAACATAACATGCCAAATCATGTCTAGCATTTGTCCCAAAAGAGATTTTGGCCACACAAACACTAGTCGTATTCAGATTTTTTTCTTCATATTATAAAAAAATCAGAATGCTGAAATTGGAAGGCCTTGGGTAATTATGATTGACATACCAAGAAAGTCAATTTCACTTTTTAAAGTTCTCATCTCAGACTCTGAGGAAATGTTTCTTTGACAAAAAGAAGTTGTTAATCTAATCAAAACAAAGAATTTTATTCAGCACTAACCTCACATCTATACTCCCTACAGAGATAATGTTTGCATTTTGATTATAAATGGCAATTAAGTTTCAGAAGTAGTGTTATTTGTTTTAGCTAACTGAGAACTTTGGAAGCCATTCCTCAAAGTATACAGTTATGAACTGAGAAAATTTCTTCTACCTAAGAAGAAAAAAAAGTTCAGACATTTTATTTGGGGGTAAGGTTTTTCCTTCAGAAGGAGTCTATGAAAACCCCTCTTACCCTAGAGAGAGTAAAATGATATTCTAACCAGAAAAACCTAAACTAGAAACTAAGTTTCTGGAAGGAAATTAATTCTCCTTTAAGAATAAATAAGTAAGCAGAGGAAATTTTCCCCACTTGGATATAAGTAATATCTAGAGCACATGTTGGTGTAGATTCAATACAATACGTTATCCCTTGGATATCTGCAATTCGATATAATGAGAAATTGTCCTTAAAGACAGTTCTAAGATCACACAGTAACCATGGTAATCAAAGAAATAATGATGCTTCCTATATTGTGCTTATACTAAGACAGAGAACATAATTTTTAGATATCGAACATGTTTTCAATAACCATTAAAAAAGCAATATATTCTGCTGGTCCTTTCCCAACTATAAAACAAACCAAAATCATTCTGAGGGATGTATAACTAACCTGATGTATCCTTTGTCCATTTTTCGTCATCATCAAAGTGAGCATCTCCATTAATTCCTGGCCCCGGTGAAAAAGCATGAGCCAAAACCATTCCTGGCCCATCAAAAGGGATAAAGTCTCCATGTTCTAATAGAGAAAAATGTTTTTTATTAGAAAGATAGGTAATGAGAATCTCTTTGCAAACTTTTCCAATAAAACAACACCAGGTAAATGGAAGCATCTCAAAATATTTTTGTTGTTAATGTTTGTGTTTGCTTTTTACCTCTAGCTGCAAAAGTGATCAGTATGTCAGCCTCTCCTTCATAAATCCTGGAGAATGTAAGTGGAGTCACCTCCTCCCAGACTTTCAGAGCTTTTTCGATGGCAGAATCAACAGCATCTCTTGGCAAATCCAGTGTATAATTCACAATCCTGTATGAGAACATTTGAAGAATTTAATATTTTCCCCGGAGAGAATCAATTGTGAAATCTCAGTATCATGTGAAAGCCTCTTGGGACCCATCACCTGTAAGTAAGGCGAGTTTTCCTCCACTTTGGCATGCCGGGAAAAGTACTGAAGTCGCCAACGTCGGGAACTCCGCACCTGGGCATGCGCATCACCTCCAGCGTTTCTGAGTCCAGCTTCCCCGTTACCTCCAACCCCAGGAACTTCTGCATTTCTTGGATTTTTTTAACAACAGGACCACTGTCCTTTCTTCTAACAAACTGTTTCACGTCTTTTGCAAGGTTGTAGTAGTTTTCCAGGTAGTGCTAATGGAATAATAAGTATAGTGTTTAGGTCATTCTTATGTTTTTTTTATCCCGTATAGTCCTTTTGTGCAGTTGCTCACTTAATCTATTGAAAGTATTCCTTCTGATTGCTGAAATTAAAATAAGCGTCATGTTCTGTTCAATTCTTCAGTTATAGACTCCTCTTCACTTTTGTTTTATCTTTGTAACTAAATAATTCCCACAGCTTAGTTTATTAACAGAACAATGAAAATAAAATGGAAAATCTAGTGAACTTAAAGGAGAAAAACAAAATGAACAGACTTCTTTGGGCATAATTGTATATTTCAGGTACATTTATTCAATTTCTTCAATTTTCCACTTTATGTGTCTCACGAGGACCTGGCTTAAGAAAAAAATGGACAAAACTCTGTGTCTAAACATGACACTAGTAATAGAAAAATCTAGCTAATCTTGCATTGTATCAAAATACCAAGAAGTTCCAAAGCACAATAAATGTCATACAGCCTCCCCTTGTGATTCATGTTATCTCAAGCCCCAGTGCTGCTGCTGCTATGGTATCTGTGGTCTTAGGAAAATATCTAACACATCTCACTTTTGTTTCTCTGTATACAAAAAGAGGAGCCCAAATCGTGTGATACCGAGAACTTTTTCACACCCAACACTTTATAACTCTATACTTTAAACATTCCTGCACAGTAATTCAAACCACTCTGCATAAGTTTTATAAATGGAAAGCAGAGATGGTTGCCCCACTTGGCCCTGTGAAGGAATGTGAGGGCTGTCTTCCTTAATTACCTGAACAAGGTCCATGCTGTCGTCCCTTGCAGCTCCATTCAGTGGATAAGCTGAGCAAACCACCACCCACAGCAATAGTAGCATTGGAAGATTCTTCATTTCCACTGGCTTTACTCAGCTCTGTGTTGTCTTAATGTCTTGCTCTTTGCCTATCTTCTTCTAGGTCCACACTCTGGAGCTCAACTTTTATAGAGTGACAGTGTTTGTTTAGATCACCCACAGCTTGACTCATGATTGCTGTCATCCGAATAGCAGCAGGACCATTTCCAAAAATTCCAATACCAAAGTAGTATGATACAAGCTACTTTACTAATTTCTCTCAACCTTTCCAATTTTGCAAGTCAAAATAGTGATTAATCTCCAGGAAATGCTTCCTGTATTGGCAAGGAGAAAACTGGGCTTTTTTTTTTTTTTTTTTTTAACTCTGGAAAAAAAGTGACTGCAATTCACTAGACAATTTATGTTTGTGTGTTTGAAAGAAGCAGGCTGACTTGGTAAAAAGTCAGAATTGTGCGGAACTTTTAAATGTGGTTTTAAGGACATTTAAAATCAAATGTTATAAG